AAAATTTTATTTATTCATTTACTTCTCTTGTCTTCTAGTCAAATAAAGCATAAAAGTAAAAAACATTTTAATTTTTTTTTAAAAAAAATCAATAAAGATGAAAAAAAAAAAAAAAAAAAAAAAAAAACAACAACAACAACAGCAACAACAAAAAGCTCCCAGAAAATCTAATGACAGACACACCCTTGAATATGTGTTGTATTGTAGTCGGAGTATGATACACACCAAATATAAATATTAAATTATATCAAATTCTTTAAAATAATGATAAGTTCAAGTATCGATCTATAGGGATAAACAAAAAATTAGACTAATTTAATGGTTAAATTCCTAAATTAATTTCGATTAAAAAGATTGAGGAATATTATGACTAAACGAAAATTAAATGAAATTGAAAAATTAAATTGGCAATTAAACATAGGGTTTGAGATATTGATTTTTGAGAAAAATCCTAAGGCAAAGAATTCACCACTAACCACATAAATAAGACTTAACATCGGCCATCAATTGCAATCCGGTTTGAACTATCCAAAATTTCATAACTACAAGTTTGAAACATTGATCAAGAGGATTGTTGCATTCAACGTACAGCTACGAATCATCCCAAGTAGCACTAGTCATTTGCTCTAAACTATAGTAGCAACACGACCCGTCTTTCGTAGCATGACTCTTCTCATACTTTGAACACAAACACAAAGAAAACTAATGTATGAAAAGTATTAAAGAATCACAGAGAGTAAAACACTTGAAGATATGAAAAGGAAAATTATTATAAACTTCTAAAACATCCATACATTTATTCAAACCGTTTCACAATCAAAGCCTAAGAAAAATCCCTTTACATGGCTAGGGTTTCATCAAAACCTTAAAAAGAGTAGCCTAGCTACTCATGGAGGAGTGGAAGAGGTGAAAGAAGAAGAAGCCACCATGGGAGACATTCTTCAAGCTTCAAGTTCTTTTGTTTCAAACACTAACCCCTCTGTGATACCCATGTTACGTAATATGTTAATCGGTCCTTAATATGATGTGATTATGCGTTTTACTATGATTTTGTGTTCCATTATGTGAAAATATGTGGTTTTGAATTTCTACATGTTCACCGTAGGAATATCTGTTTGATTTCTCTGCTTTGGAGATTAAATTGAGGGCCTCATCGGCCACAGAACTCGAAATTGATCGCGCCATTGTGATTGGCGTAATTTTTAGAGCCTACGGTGGAATTTAATTGAAAATTGATTCGGGTCAGATTAAATCGATTAAATTAATGAATTAAGTGCCCAAATATTTTATAATGAAATAATGTGTTGAGTGGGGCTAAATAGGGGCCTTATTATAATCAATTCCTCACCCTTATATCATTTTGGCTGATACTAACTCAAGAGAGAAAGGAGAGGGTCAGCCTTAGAGAGAAAGAGGGAGAGGATTGTGTAGCTTTGGCTCAAAGCTTGGAAATCTTGAAGATTAAGTCCAAGAATTGACTAGAGTTTGGAAGATTAAGTTCCTTGGTGAGTAATTCATGTATTTTAGTTATCATCTTGTGAATTCAAGTTTGAAGGAGGGTCAAGAACATGGATTAGTTTGATCATAAGGAAATTGAGTTGAATTTGTTGTAATGAAGACCCATATGTGCATGCATGTGTGTAATTGCTTTGAATATGGCATGTTGAGCTCAAAGGGTATGATCCATATAAATTTGTAGTTGAAGCTCATGTTTTGATTACCTTTTCATCATCTAAGTTGAGAGTAAGGGTTATATAGCACATGCATGTACAATTCATGAGAATATGAGCTTGAATGCATGAATTTGTTATGTTAGAATGAGTTTGATGGGAGATTGGGGCATTCATGTGAATTATTTGTCAATTGAGCTTCATTGGGTTGTGATTTAAGGTTTACATCATGTTAGTATAATTATATTTGAGATTTGAGCCATTGCATGCAAGAAATGTTAGCTTGAAGGTCAAATTGAGCTCAAGAACACAATTTGGGAAACCCATAATTTTGATGTCCACTCGAGCGAGAAAAACGTGCTCCCAGTACTTTTTACAGACTTCGTGTCTGCTCGAGTGGGTTAGTTCACGCTCGAGCGAGGGAGCAACGTAGACAGGCCTTCCGCTCGAGTGCCCTATTTCACGCTCGAGCATATTTTTCATGCAACCAGTACTTTTGCAGGCCTTAAGGGTCCGCTCGAGTGGTGGAGTCTACGCTCGAGCGAGGACCCTGCTTTCTGAAATTTTGTTTTTGCATTCAGTGTTTCGTTTTCCGTTCTCTTTCACTTGCAAGTACCCTTAGGCATGTGTTAAGCATTGTAAATGAGTTAAAGAGATAAGAATAAGGCTTAAAGAGGAATATGTGAAATAAGGAACGGATTGAATTGTTAATGACCCTTTTGTATTCGTGAAATGTGTAGAGTCGAGCTCTAGGGCGAACCAACCAACCAATCACTGTGAGTAATATCTTATCAAGGCATCTGAAATATACTGTTGTCCAATTGCTCACTTCTATGTAAGTTTTATAAGTTCGTCGATTCAATTAGTGGACAACGTTTTGACATAAATGAATGGACCGAAGGTCGTTTTGACATAAATGAATGGACCGAAGGTCGTTTTGGCATAAATGAATGGACCGAAGGTCATTTTGGCATGAATGAATGGACCGGGGGTCGTTTTGACATAAATGAATAGACTGCAGGTCGTTTTGACATAAATAAATGGACCGAAGGTCGTTTTGATATGAATGAGTGGACCGAAGGTCGTTTTGACATAAATGAATGGGCCAGAGGCCGTTCTGTCATGAATGAAAGCCTGAATGGGCCAAAGGCCAGTTTGCCATTTAAATGGACCAAAGGCCAGTTTGTCACTTGAGTGGGCCAAAGGCCAGTTTGACACGAGTGATAGTTTGACATAAATAATAGTTTGACACGAATGATAGTTTGATATAAGTAATAGTTTGACAAGAACAACAGTTCGATCTGAATAATAGAATGAATGGGCCAGAGGCCGTTTTGTCATGAACGAAAGTCTAAATGGGCCAAGGGCCAGTTTGTTATGGAAAGATGAATGGGCCAAAGGTCAATATTAGTTAGGAACCACAGTCACTTGACCTAAATTAAATATATATATATATATATGTTAAATAGAAATATGAATTGGGCCCAAGGACGTTTGGAGTATGTTGTTCTACATATCGTTTGTATAACTTTTGTATTTGATATTATTCACTGGGCTATCGCTCACGCTCATTTATGTGTTAGTAGGTGAGCCAAGAGGGGTCCAAACCCAGCCCCAGTGAAGCCTGTCAGGAACAACAAAGGTTTTGGAAAGTCAGCCCTTGTGTCTCACGTACGAGACCCATCTTTGCCATTTTGTTATGTATTATATTTTGTCATGTGGGCGAGGACTTTGTGTATATCTGTATATAGTTGAGATGGGTTAACTTAGACTCGAATGATCCTGTTGTGCAGAACTTTTGGTACTATGTTTTTGTTGTGAGTTATGAACGTGCATACGTATGGTTTGTTTTGATGCGCATGTAAGCACGGCTCTATGGACAAAGTTTAAAATTTTTGCTTCCGTTGGCCCCTATACTCTAACAAGTTACGTCTGTTTTGGTTTGAGGCCGTAGGTAATCTCAGGGTTACTGGCCGGTTATGTCCTTAACCCATAGGGGCGGGTTCGTGTCATGACACCCTCTCTCCATTTTTCTCTGAAATATTTTCAAACCTCTTTTCAACCTATTTTTCTTCTTTTTATGCACAGTAGAAAAGCCTTAAATTTTCACGCATGCAACCCTAGGTGGGCCGCTCGAGCGCCCATGTAGGTTGCTCAAGCCGTGGTGGGCTGCACGCGCAGTGGAGCTTGGCCGTACGTGCGGTGGAGCTTGGCCGCACGTGCGGTGAGGTGGCAAGCTTGAATTTTTCACTACTCGCACGGACAATCTGCTTTTGCGCCACTTTTTGCTTGAATTTGAGTATTGCCTGCCAAATTTGTACAAGTGCACAAAACATATCATTTTCACCAAATAAACATAATTCAAATACTATAAATGTAACTTAAGCGACCTCAATATGGTACCTTTCAGCCTACATTACATCCCTCAACTTACATTTTGCTAGTCCTCGAGCAAAACAATAAGAATAAGAAAAAAAAATACTTTAAGCCACTTTTGTAGGAATCACCATTGCATTTAACATATGCAACAAGCCTTTAAACTACAAGGTTACCCTAAGTGGACGAGTATAGTCTCGTGAGGGTTTCCAGAAATGATACCTACAAACATTAACATATTCACATCTGCCCAACAACAATAAGTAATCACACTACTCCAACTATCAAGTAACTTATGTGCCAACTACAATGTGATATTAAGACGTGATGAGTCATTGAAGGCACAGTGGATAAGCATGAAAAAGTCTATTGAGCAAGAACCACAATTCAATTAATATAAAAGTTAAGTCCCATGTACTTGTGAATGCTAGTAAACACATCATTAGTGCCTTTGGTGTAAAGTGCATTTCCCATAACTAGTTAATTGTCCACTATAATAGCCCAGTGTAACTCACAATAACACCCAACATATATAAAAAAAACTAAACTTTTGCAACCAAGATTCTCATCATTTTTTTTTTTTTTGGAAGACTGTACAATGTCTTGATCCATTAAGCTTTCTAATCAACCCATGTAACAAGCATTGGGCCAATGACTCCCAAACCAAACGATTTTAGGGTACTAGGTGTGAAGACATCCCTACGTGCTTAATAACTCGAGCTGAAAAGGCTATGAACCCAAACAAGTCTTTATTTTTTTCTTAACTGTGCAATGTGTAGGTCCCTTAAGCTTTCTAATTAACCCATGTAGCAAGTATTGGGCCAATGACTCCCAAACCAGATGGTTTTAGGGCACTAGGTGTAGAGACACTCCTACGGGTTTAATAACTCGAGTTAAAGAGATTATGAACCCAAACAAGTCAAGTTTGTCTGTTTGTTGTATTTTTTTTTTTATATAATTTTTTTGTGAGAATCGAGGCTATTCATTTATTCTTTTTTGCAACACTAGCAATTATCAATGATGTATACCAGGGATTAGAATAGAGAGCTCATAGCTATAAAAGTGTGTTCATGTGAATCAAGACATAATCGTGACAAGTGTACTAATACCACAAACAACTCTCTTAGTGCAAACATCACATGCGAGTATTTACCCAATAAACTCTTTTCATGCAAATCCACTATGTTCCCCAGTTAACATATGTTTATATCACTACTATACTGGCACAAAGTGAACATCAAGTGAAGTGGAGCAATCAATTACAGCAAGTACAAACATTAATTGTTTTTGTAAATACCCTCACCCCCTAATTGGAATACAACATTGTCCTCAATGTAAGCAACTGTAAAGTAGATAGTAAAATGAGAGAGAAAGGATCTTACCAAACGGTGTAGGCGCACATCCAGCGAGGCAGGGACGAACCAAACACACACACACACTCACACACACACACACACATTTTTTTTTTGAATGTACAGTATAAAAAGAAAAGAAAAATAAAATAAAACAAAATAAAAAAGAAATGAAGAAATGAAACAAAGAAACTAGAATGCATATCACTGATTTGGATCCAGCGGTGGTGGAAAATGCTGCTCAAATAAGGCATGCATCAACGTCCGAGTCTCGAATGCCTCATCATGAACCCTAGTGCCAAGCTGATCAAACCGCTCCTGGCTCGACTCTTGGTATGTGTAAAAGTCAGTTTGTAGAGATGCAACTGACTACTGATACCCATCAAGCACCGTTTGTGAGCAATCCCAATATGCCTGATAGTCTGCCCAAAGATCAACCACAAATTGCTAAATAGCAGCTTGATTATCCAAAAGAGCTTGATATTGTGCTCGTGTAATACGAAATAACGGTGGTGCTGGCGCGGCAGCGGGCTCTACTAGAACATTATTAGGATTGGTCGGGGCATCGGGGATGAGTAGTGGAGGCGGCAGGAGAGCAGTGATTAGGCGCCATTGGGTTTTACCATAAAGCGTTGGCGGCGGAAGCTGAACCTCAGTGGGTTCGAGTGGGTATGTCTTTTGGCCTTTTATGAGTGCAGCAATGAGGTTGGCAAAAGGGAGGGCCCATGTAGAACCGCCTCGGGTGTTGCGCAACTTGACTTCATTAAGGATACGGGTCATCTGGTTGAAGATCAAAATAGAGATATCAACCAAAAACCCAAAGTCAAATCGATGCAAGGCACGGAGGAAGTCTCCTCTCCGTTTTTCCTTGTAGCCTTTTTGGCCTTTTATGAGTGCAGCAATGAGGTTGGCAAAAGGGAGGGCCCATTTAAAACCGCCTCGGGTGTTGCGCAACTTGACTTCATTAAGGATACGGGTCATCTGGTTGAAGATCAAAATAGAGATATCAACCAAAAACCCAAAGTCAAATCGATGCAAGGCACGGAGGAAGTCTCCTCTCCGTTTTTCCTTGTAGCCTAAAGGGATGACATTCTTTTTTATAACCACATCAAGGAAGATGAGGCAGCGCGGTAAGTTAGCTCGACAGATACTAGTGCGGTTGTCATCATCCTGTCGCCCCTCATAAAATTCAATCACTAGTGCTGGGACTGTGAGTTCTTGAGTAAACACAGGGAACTGCTCTACATTGGTAGTGTCCATGGAACAATGGAGAACCTCGGCAATGAAAGCTGGTGTGATCACTAACTTCACTCCATCAACAACGAACATAAGAGCTCCCGAGGCCTCGTCATTGATATTCATGTTCTGATAAAAGACTCGCACAATGTGAGGATACGCCAGTTCAGTGACAGTTCAGATGCCCAGTAGGCCTCGGTTTTCAAGTTGTCGGACACTTCACGCAATGGGTTGGTGGCGCTGAAAGAAGTCCACATCAAATGGTGTGTTTGAGGCAATTTCTTTATTGGCCCAAATGTCAGTTGGCACATCCCGAGCTACTATGTTGGCATTGCAAGGCCGTTTGGGTGCTCGGCGGGATGAGACATATTTGAACAAAATAATACAACCAACACAAACAAAAACGTGGAACTATTATATCAATACTTATCAAATATCGCATGCATGCACGAATCACTCAAAACCTCAATGTCATCCCACCACTAGAATTTTTTTTTATTTTTTATTTTTTATTTTTTTATACTACCCTAAATTAACTTAGACTAAGTTAGTATGAAAAAAAATTGACAAGCAAAAATATGAAATACAAGGACTAAATAAACAAATTAGTAGAGAAAAAGAGAAGAAAATAAAATGTAGAAAATTAAAATAAAAACTAAACCACTAACCAATTAAACTAACAATTAAACCACTAAATAAAAATAAAACTAAATTACTAACTAAACAATTAAAACAAAAATAACAACAATCCACTAACCAATTAAACTAACAATTAAATTGAAATTAAAGAAATAAGAACCACTAACTAAACAATTAAACTAAACAACTACATTATACAAAAATAGTCTGCAACAAGATAAATTATTATTATTATTATTATTATTATTATTATTAGTGAATTTATTTATTTATTTATTTTGGGCCACACGTGCGCCGGAGATGGCTGCATGTGCAGTGGTCTGTTGCTTGGTTACAGTAGCAATTTTTATTTTTATTTTTTATGTGAGGATGAAGATGATGAACGAGATGGTGAATAAGCCTAAAAAACAACCATTAAACTACTAATCTACCAATATTACAAGTAAAAACTAAGAAATCTAAACAAAAAGAGAGTGTTTACCTTATATTACAAGTAAAAACTAAGAAATCTAAACAAAAAGAGAGTGTTTACCTTGAAAAAGTATGAAGAAAAATGATGAAGAAGAGAAGATGTAAGATTCGTCGGAAAAAATGGCCACCGGAAGGTCGCCGGTCAGAAAAGATGTGATGCTCCGGTGGAAGGTGGTGGTGAGAAAAAGGGTGAGTGAAAGTTGAAGGAAGAATGAAGAAGAAGTTGGTGATAGTGGGGTTTGATGAGTTTGTGAGAGAGAGAGAGAGAGAGAGAGAGAGAGAGAGAGAGAAAAAAAAAATGATGATGATGATGTTAGATAATGTCTCAATGGGACCACATAATTAAATGTGGTGTTATCATTTATAAGAAGCCTACAATTTAAGTGATTCAATTTAGTTAATAGGCTTAAGGGTATATGTGTTATGGACCTAATGTGTAGATACTAGTTGTATAATTTCTATTTCTATGAGGGGCAGAAATAGAAATTAAAACATAATGGTTAATGGCCGCATGTGCAGTGGTCTGTTGCTTGGTTACAGTAGCAATTTTTATTTTTATTTTTTATGTGAGGATGAAGATGATGAACGAGATGGAGAATAAGCCTAAAAAACAACCATTAAACTACTAATCTACTAATATTACAAGTAAAAACTAAGAAATCTAAACAAAAAGAGAGTGTTTACCTTGAAAAAGTATGAAGAAAAATGATGAAGAAGAGAAGATGTAAGATTCGTCGGAAAAAATGGCCACCGGAAGGTCGCCGGTCAGAAAAGATTAAGGTTTTATTGACAATCAGACGCTTCCGTTTAACCGTTCATCAATGGATTCAGGTATGTCATTTTGTCTTGATCTCTTGATAATACATGGTAAATGATCCAAAGTGTAAGGTTTATGTTCTGAAATTTTATGTTTACAGATGAGAGGTAGAGAGAGTATGTTGGGAAATGATAAGAGTGAGTCTAGGGTTTGCCTGTAAGAAAAGGACTTCTCTTTTTCTTTTCTTTTTTTTAATAAAAATAAAATAAGTAAATATAAATAAATAAATAAACAAATAAAAATTGCACGAATTTTTTTATATATATAAAATAAGTAAATAAAAATAAATAAATAAAATTGCACAAAAAAATATTTTAAAATTTTTTTTTTGGGGGGGGAATAGGTCGTACGTGTGGTGAATTATGAGCCGCTTGTGCGGCGGAATTGGGCCTCTCCAGTGGCATTCAAGCAGTAGGCATTTGGGCTGGGGCAGTTCGTGCAGCCTGGGCCTCTGCTCGTGCTCTCCATTTTTATTTTTTTTTTGAATGTGCTAATGTGGGCCGCACGTGCGATGAATTGGCAGGCTCGAACTTTTCACTACTCGGACAGACAATCTGCTTTTGACTTTTTGCTTGAATTTACGTATTGCCTATCAAATCTGTACAAGTACACAAAACACATCATCTCTACCAAGCAAATAAAATTCAAAGACTATAAATGTAAATTAAGCGACCTCAAAATGGTACCTTTCGGCCTATATCAGAGTATAGTTGTTTAATTGGATATAATTATTTTATAAAACAATGATAGAGATTCCAAAAATTTTATCATATTTTTTTTATCAATTCACACCCATATGAGAAATTTTTCAAAAAATTTGATAAAAATTTTGACATCCCTAGTATTTTTCTATTTTATATTTATAATCTCCTAACAATTGAAATTGTGTACATAAATCATTTTTCACTTAAATTATTTAGAAATTAGAACCCTTAAATTTTGGTCATGACGGTTGTTATTACGTTGGGCAACATACTGACCCGAAGAGCCCCCTGCCCTGCCATGCCTATACAATATTAAATTCCAACTCATTTTGTACAAAAAACCCATATGCATATCAATAAAATTTTGCAAGAACAGAAAGGAAAATAAAACAAAATAAAAGATCTGAAGTAATTAATTATGAACTATGACTAAGATCTGCAGAAACACACATCAAATTGTCGCACGAATTCCAGTCACTGACTTTGAATTTTTTTGTAGACAAGGATTATTGCTAACAGAATTCTGCAAACTTGTCATGACTTCATATCATTTGTCAAGAATGTTTCAGTAATGTCATTGTAGTAGTAGTAGGTAGACAAAGCAAAACAAAGAAAGGAAAAATGTTTTCCTTCTCCTTTTCCCATACAAATTCCCAAGTCCCAAACAGTATACGTATATAGTAAAAAATCACTGCTTACTGACCAATATATGTATGAAAATCACAATCAAAATGTGTGTTCATCAAGAGTTCAGTAATTGATTCATTTGAGGGCTATTATTTCCTCCCAAGTACTGTCTGTCATTAGCAAGGCTTCTTTTTCTTCTTATAGGATCTCACTGCATTCTTTCCCTGCCCCCGGGTGGCTTTTCCAAAATCCCACACATACACATTGTCTTCCACTTTCTGCGGCTGCCACCACCATCACTCCTCCCTCCTCCTCCTCCTCCACCACCGCCATCAATAGAGTTCGGATGGATTCTGATTGTGCACTTGATTCTCTCTTGAATATGAGAATTATATTCAAAGAAGAATCAAGAAAATGCCCATACCAATATATACTATGGGATGACTTCTCTAAAATTTTATTACTCCAAAATCAACTGATTTGCCTCAAATGCTTACCCCTCAATTTTATAGTAAAAGATTGCTGGATAATGAAGTGTGAGACCCAGAAAATCCTTTCACATGGATGTTGATGAGCTCCAACAAAGAGATGAGCTTTGCTGTTGTAATCTGTAAGGATAAACGGCGTTACCCAACCGGAATTGCTGGCCGAAAACACTTCGATGATAAAGTTAGAATCCATAACTGAATAGTATAGATAGCAAAGAGTGTTGTGGATGGAGTATAGAGAGAGATAACATCCTTTGTGTATGAGGTCCCCTCCTTTTATAGGGGATAAATGATATTTGTTTAAAATATTTTATCCAAATAATTAGGATATTTTTCTGACTCCACATCGAGCTATAATTCATGCCCCAAGTCAAACCACAGTTGAAAAGTTACCCAAAATAATGAATTTGACTTAAAGATCAAATGACGAAACTACAATAAAAAGAAACTTCTAGAAAGTTCTAATTAAATTTTAATTTTAATATCAAACTATTATAAATATATTATTTTCAAAATTTATGTCTGCATCATAATGGTTTCTAACTATCTATCAATATAACTTGAGGATCACAAGTTGTGTGTAGATGTATTAGTATTATTATATGTATATATCATCTTGGTTTGGTGAATAAAAATGTAGTAATGATAGAGACCTCACAAAACACAACATTCACAACTTCCAAAATGACTTAGATCATTTATGTCACTATCAGAAATTAAAAAAAAAATTCAAACACATCAATGGACAATGTATTAATGGGGGTCGTGAGGGTCCTCAAAAAAGCTCATATCAATGGGGGTCGTGAGGGTCCTTCTTTGCTGGGGGTCCTAAACATTTTTCATAAAAATGGATGAGCAAAGATATAGAATATTTAGAACTTAGTAGAATTTTGGCAATGGACCCTTTATTTAAAATAAATAAAATAATGAAATTGTGATTAGAATTGTTAAGTAATTATAATTTTTATTTATTTACCTTGCTTATATAAAAATTAAAACTGTAATAAAATTTAGTTACATAGATTAAGGATGAAGAAATAAAAATATTGTTATGTTATTTTACAGTTTAGTAATATCAAGTTTACAAGATTAAAAAAATATATATTTACTAAAAAAATTTACAGTTATAATATTAAATAAAAATTGAACCAATTGTATGAGCTAAATATTATTCTTCTCATATTTTTAGATGCAAATCTACTATATCTTTTTCAGTAGATAATATAATTAATTTGTTAATATATATATATTTCTTGGTGATGTTGTAAAATTAATCAATTTCAACTCAAAACAAAAAAAATCTCCCTAGATAATGGTAATCGATGCAGTAAACAATATTTTATAAAGATTCCATTAATTTAGGAAATAATTAACAATTTATTACTTTTAAGTATTGACTACTTCAATTCTTTTTGGAAAATGTTATAGGTCCCAAATTTTCTATCAAATAAATAATCAAATGTCTTACAAATGCGGACCCTACACCTATATAAGACATTTGATCATTTATTTAATAAAAAATTTAATATCTCTAAAATTATCGTGTTTGATTGGTCACCCCTATATATTTTTAACTAGAAAGTGGGGATAATCTTTACAAAAAGATAAATATTGATAATTTATCTTCCATTATGGGGGCTTTGTCATGTTAGACTATTTGTTTATGAGGTTTTTTTGTTGGGTTGGTTGTTAGGCCATAGATATTAAACGTGAGTTTGGGATTAACCAAATTTTTTTTTTTTTCTAAACTCTTGCCTAGTATTTTATTATTATTATTTGTGTCAAAAAAATTTTATTCAATTGTGTTTAGTGTTGTAGAATCTAAAAAGTTTTTTTAAAAAAAAAAATTAAAATTAAAATGAAATCCAAAAAAAAAAAAGTTAGAGAACATAAAAGCAATTTTTTTAAAAAAAATCTAATGACAA